CTTTTAAAGTTCGAAACGTTGAAATATTTCGTTTTAATTTAATTATATGTATTTCAATAAAATGGAAACTACTGCTGTTACTTTATTATGCGTACTAAAATTTTTGCCCATTCATAAAGAAAATGTGAACACTGTACAAACCACACTCGAAAAAAGTAAAGTGTATAGGATTAGGTATGCACCAGTTCCAGTTTTTAACTGTGAGAATCGGTTTCCATAACAGTTAAAACTTTTTTCAAATTACAGAGACAAACGAAGCACCGTGAAATATTAAATACATTAGTGTGCAAAATTATAGACTCACCCGTTCAAATCTTATGTGCTTTTCTACTGCAAAAAAGTGGCATGTGCTTTGGCACGGATATGTTTCGGTGTAACGAAATGAGGCGCGGAGCTCGCGAACCTGTTTCTTATTTTGAAGAAAAATGTGTCATCTATTCGACGTGGTTGTCAAAAAATGAGTCTAGCCTCTATTTTAAATTTCGTAGCCAAAATACTGAACTTGGGTGAGGTTTTCAAGCCATTTTGGCTTGTTCAATAAAATCTAATAATAACTCCAAATATAAACCATTTTTTGAAGTCGTTTTTTATGAAAATGTCCAGTAACAGGTCCTCTGTCTATCTGTGTAACTTGCAAGCCAAAATAACATCGCGTTTTCCTCCTTGTATAAGATTCAGCCTGAAATCTTCATTTCAGTAGGCTATATCCCAATTTTTCTTGTATTGGAAAGACACTCTTGCACAGATAAATTATGTGCACAAACACGTTGTTTCTCAAGATATACACTCGACGGTATGTAAGTCTAACAAAAATGGAGAATGGAAAAAATTTTCAAAAATGGTTTGGAATGAGCTCGAATGGTCCATTCTAGCCTATTCCATACCATTCCGCTTTTTCTCCCTTGCGTTTACAGTAAGTATACAGTTTGTAACAGAACATAGTACTCGAAACTTAACCTTATGTACTGAAGCAAATATACCATTTTTATTTAAGTACGGCAAAGCACGATCCAAATAAATATCTTTCATGTAAAATTTTTCTAGCAAAAATTTTGAACACTCTCACGTATTGAAACTGAAGATGCTGCAGTAGATCTAATATGAAAGTACCAAATTAATCGGGCATCTTTCTGAAAGTATTTTTGAGGAAGTAATAGCATTTTTGCAATGCACGTTCAGCATCTGTTGGTGCATGAGCCCTATTTGCCGATCGTTTATAAACAATCAGATATTCGGGATATGCTTGACCAGGCTCGTAGAGGATAACCTCACGATATCGTAATTTGTTACCGCCGAGCGTCTGTTTTTCACCCAACACGGAATCGTAAATGTCAATGTTATTATCTTTTAACGGCGCACGACGAACTTTTCGTGCTCCTTCACCGCGATATGTGGAGGCTTGATATTTTGCAGCAATATGCACATCGCCCAGCACAGCACGATACAACACCATCATAAATTCTAAATTTTCTTGATTTTTGCATAAACAACCACTCCCGGTGAATATTGAATTTTTTTTACACCCGGGACACATAATATACTGATTTGATTTACTCGAATTTTCGGCCAAATAAAACCCACCGCCAAACATACCATCTAAACTTGATACACGTGGATCATAACCATTATGAGACAGATCGTACAGAGTTTTTTCTGCACACCCATGAAATAGCCAATATTCATTTGACAATGAGTCTAATAATGGTGTTGCCATCGGATAGGTTTGTAAATACTTAGAACATGCAAGATCACGTATTTTACCATCATTCTTTTGAATTATACTTTCCTAAATAATTAGTCAAAAAACCTGCACTTTTAAATAAAAATTTTTAAGGAATAAAGGTAACCGGTTTCTCTAGAAGGATATCGGCACTCACACGTGTAAATGAAGCACTAATTGTAAAAGAAGTTTCTTGCATTTACCTTTTTAAAACAATATTCGTGCCAAAGTTTATCGTTTTGTATTCGAATAACTCTCGTTACTATGAATTCGGTGGGGTCTTTTCCATATATTGTTCCAAAATTATTATCATGTCTTTCGATATTTGAATTCATCAAATGACTTACAATATTAAATTCTGGTGAACTGCTTGGTATTTTGACTTCTCGATATGGCGTCACAAATGCATTTGGACCCCAATAGGATGGTGTATCACGTCGTATTGCGAGTATTCTCTTTTTTTCTAATTCACGCTTTTCTCTCTCCTCTAATTCGAGTGTCAATGCTTTCTCTAAACCTTGAGTGTGTATGGCCATTTTCAATTTATCCGCACGTAATTTTTCAATTTCTTTTTCGTAATATTCAGTTTTATTTTGTAAATTAGTAATCGATTCTTGAAACCGTTGTTCAATTATCTTTTCACGTCTTTTCAGCTCTTGTTGTAGTTGCGTATTTTCTTGGTTTTGTTTCTCCTTGTGATCTTTCAATTGTTGCTGAAGATCAGCGATTATTGTTGCATTCACGTCTAGTTGTTGCTGCAGTTGAGGTACCTGTGACGATTTTTGATGGTGTGTAAATCCTGGTGGATGAGAATACTTTTCAAAGTGTAACGGATTCTGCCGATAACACGCCATACCGTAACGGCAAGGGATCAACTGAGCAACATCCGTCTTGCTTTGTGTTTCTTTCTCAGATACCGTTGATGGAGACGAGGTGACCTGGTCTGTTAGAGTTTGTCGTGGATTAGCTACAGGAGTATCGGTAGGTACCAGCAGTGTTCTGTTCCGTTGAAGAAGAGACGTTTTTCGTGCAAATGGCGACGGGGTTGAATTTGCGGACTGTCCTCTATCATTCGCTCCTGTGTGTTCTTGTGTATCTACAATATTCATTAGCTGCGGAGATGCCTGGATAGTCGACTGCTCATAAGCAGGAGGTAATTGCGATTCAGCGTGTGTTGAACACTTGATTCCGGATGTGGAATGTTCTTCTTTCGTTTTAAAACAATCACAACAGATCTGATCTTTTTTCCATACTGAAGGTACAAAATTATTACATGCAGCCATTTATCTTTTCTTACGAAAAGAACGTTTTGTTTTGTGAATAAATTGAGAAAATCAGCGATTGAACCTGAAATGATTCTCTCGTTCTCCTATGAATCTCTGTGATTTTTTCTTTCAATCTTGGTATAAAGTGACGAAAGATCTTCACCTATGTGCAATATTTTGTCTCTTGTTCTTCGAAAATCTATGATAGAAATCATGCAGACAAAGTTTTAGTGACTAAGTGTTTGTTAAGTCGGGTGCACTTAAGGCTCTAGTCCTTTCGTTTTCTTTAGTATTTAGTTTTCTATTTTTTGTCTTATCTCTCTTCACATGTGTGTATGCGTGATCTTTTAGTATCATACTGACTGTAGTTTACTTTTCGTCTCTCTATTTTCTTTCTTCTATTTCGTCTATTTTATTTCGTTCATCTATTGTATTTTTCTCGTCCAGTTGTGATCACTATTATTCTAGGTCTATATATTGCATCATCCTTAACTATCTCTTTCTATTGAATCATTTTGTAAGGTGAAGAATTTCAATATAGATAATAAGAGATACACCACCTTTTTCATCATGAAAATCGACTATTTTCTGTTTGAGACGTTTCGTCTTTATTCAAAAGACATCCTCAGTC